CCCTGCCGTCGCCCTCCCCGGCCCCCCCCCCCCCCCTTCCCCACTGCTTCCTGCACCCTCATTCCCACCCCAGCTGCCTCCCGTACCTGCACTCCCACACCCCCACTCCTGCCGTAGCTCTCTCCTGCAACCCCACTCCCTCATCCTCACTGCTTCCTGCACCCTCATTCCCACCCCAGCTGCCTCCCGTACCTGCACTCCCACACCCCGACTCCTGCCACAGCTCTCTCCTGAGTCCTCCACTCCTGCATTCTCCACTGCCTCCTTCACCCGCATTCCCACCCCAGCTGCCTCCCATGCCTCCACTCCCACACCCCCACTCCTGCCACAGCTCTCTCCTGAGTCCTCCACTCCTGCATTCTCCACTGCCTCCTTCACCCGCATTCCCACCCCAGCTGCCTCCCATGCCTCCACTCCCACACCCCCACCCCTGCCACAGCTCTCTCCTGAGTCCTCCACTCCTGCATTCTCCACTGCCTCCTTCACCCGCATTCCCACCCCAGCTGCCTCCCATGCCTCCACTCCCACACCCCCACCCCTGCCACAGCTCTCTCCTGAGTCCTCCACTCCTGCATTCTCCACTGCCTCCTTCACCCGCATTCCCACCCCAGCTGCCTCCCATGCCTCCACTCCCACACCCCCACCCCTGCCACAGCTCTCTCCTGAGTCCTCCACTCCTGCATTCTCCACTGCCTCCTTCACCCGCATTCCCACCCCAGCTGCCTCCCATGCCTCCACTCCCACACCCCCACCCCTGCCACAGCTCTCTCCTGAGTCCTCCACTCCTGCATTCTCCACTGCCTCCTTCACCCGCATTCCCACCCCAGCTGCCTCCCATGCCTCCACTCCCACACCCCCACCCCTGCCACAGCTCTCTCCTGAGTCCTCCACTCCTGCATTCTCCACTGCCTCCTTCACCCGCATTCCCACCCCAGCTGCCTCCCATGCCTCCACTCCCACACCCCCACTTCCCCACCCCCACTCCTGTACCACCCCTGCCTCCTGTGCCCCCACTCCTACCACAGCTGTCTCCCTCTCCCCACAGTGCCTCCCACACCTCATTCCTGTTCTGGCTCCCTCCCACACCCCCCATCCAGCCCCTGGCTGCTTCCCGTACCACCACCCTGCCCCAGATGCCTTCCA